ACAAGGGAAACTAGGGAAGTGTGACTCGCCAATTTTAAAATAAACTAGTGGGATGTATGCCTTATGAGGAATAATTTTAAGGGGCAACATTCGTTTCTGCCCATAGAAGGTTCTGTGAGAGATAAAAAATAATTTAATATGTAGAAAAATCGATATTTTATTACTTCAATGCAGACTATTAGTTATTGTAATTGTCTCATACTCCAATTAATTTATAATTAATTGGTTAATTAATAAGGTTTCTAATTAATAAATCAATTAGCAAATTAATTAATTAATTTTTAATTAATTTTTAATTAAATATTAATAAGTTATTAATTAATTGATTGATTTGCAATTACATACTCCAATTAATTTGGAAAATTTTTGGAAAAAAAAGTAAAAAAATTTGATGTCAATTTTTTTTTAAATTAACCTAATAGGTTTTTCTGAAAAACTACTGATATATAAAATTTTCAAAATCAATTTTGAGAATAAATATGTATTACATAGTACGTGAAAGTAAGTACCACAAAATTAATTGGAGTATGAGATAATGACAATAATTAATAGTCTGCATTGAAGTAATAAAATACCGATTTTTCTATATATTGAATTATTTTTTATCTCTCACAGGACCTTCTATGGGCCGAAACGAATGTTACCTCCTAAAATTATTCCTCATAAGGCATACATCCCACTAGTTTATTTTAAAATTGGCGAGTCACACTTCCCTAGTTTCCCTTGTTAGTGATGGAAGTAACTCGGTATTTTTGTTACATGGGGAGGAAGATTACCGACGATTGACGGCTAGGGATTCTAATCCACGAACAGTCTTCCGAGGATATTTTATGCCAGGACTGTGGTCGGACTGAGCAGAGAGCAGAATTCGTATCCACCCGCCACCTCTGGAATTCGAACCTGGTTCACCTTAGTGGGAGGTGAACGCTCTATGCCCTGAGCCTCTGCGGCATTAAATAACAATTATTATTGTCATTTCTGAACTCAATGCTTATCTTGCCAATATAATAGTATATAATACTTAGGGTACTAATAGTAGTTAATACTTCCTCGTGCTCAGTACAGCTCGCCAAAACCCGGAACTATCTTCAGATCTCTCGCTGCGTTCGTTCGTTAAATTGCTTCCTCGCAACCTCCACCACTGATGTTTTTTCATGCAATGCAAAAATGAGATGTTTTTTCCCTTCTTAACACTGCACTACGGAAATTGATGTTGCACTTTGCATAAATTAATAAAAATATGAAAATATTGTTAGTAATTTGATATACATTTACTTTCCTTTTATGATTTATTATATAATTTGCAACAAAAAAAATGTAATTTGAAATAATTGGCTTCGTTTAAACAAATTTAAAAAATGCGTTAATTCTTTTATGAAACAGGGGGCTCCGAGCCTTGCTCTTTAGTGAATCGCGACCCTCAGAATTGTTACGCAGCTGATTATAGAATTTGTGAAGTGAATTCAGATTACGAGGTTCATTCTTTTTGCTTTCGTCTTGTTTAATACTCTATACTTAATGTCTTCCTATATACTGCCTATAGTGCACTGCCTATACGCAAGCACGCACAAATCCTATTTTTAAAATATTTACTTTTTTTCCTATCATTGTTTTCGTCTCTCATTCAATTTATCAATCATCAGTCCTTTATTCACTCGTTGTTTGAAAAATAAATATTGTAAAATATCATTTATTAAAATGAATATTACTACTATCACTAATAGCAATAATTTAAAAATTTCAGTACTTAACTTAATTTTAAATAAATATTGAAAAATATTAAAGGACAATGTATCAAATATTTTTATCTGTAAACATATATTTTGTTGAGCTAAATAAAAATCTAATGGTAGACATAGTAGCAGAAATTAATAAATGTACTTTGCTAAAATCTATATTCTCTCTTTCCAAACTAGCATAGGTTTTAAGTTGTATTAGTACAACCTTGGCCAAAGACCTTGGCCGTGTTCTTTGTTCGCCAAGAGTACAACTATAAAACACTTCTTCATCTACATTTGCAACAAACTATATTTACAACAGCTGTACTATATTTAAAACTATATTACATCTACATAATAACAACTGCAAACATACTATTACTATTACCACTTGCAAATCTAGTTATGCTTAAAAATTTTTCGTATGACAATGGGTCACTATTAAAGATGAAGAAACAGGGAATCAGACGATTCTTGTTTGGAATTGATATTAATATATTTAATAGGATGCCTGCAAGTGCCGTGGGGTAGGTGTCTCGATACTGATTGGTTGCTGAAACGTGGCATTTAATTACGTTAGCAACTGTTCTTTCCCTTCTATTTCGAGTAAGCCAGGCCCGTCAGTTATTAATTCTCTTAAGTGATATATTCTATATTCTTTCACAAAGATTTCCTTTTTTTCACTATAGATTTCTTACTGGACTTAAAGACAGGAACGAAGCTATGTAGAACATAAACAAACTAATTATGTTTCGAAGGTACACAAAACAAAAATATATCTTGGTCACAATAAAATATATATACAAATAATAAATCTTAAAGTAAAAGAAACATTCTAGAAAGAATTATATTTTAACAAAATCGATCTGTGATTTAACTAACTTCCCACTAATTTACATTCTAACTTATGTGGAGAAGCTCAGCTCAACTTTAATACGCCATCTTGTTCCATCTTGTATGTAAACGTTCCGCTGACGCTTAGGTCATATATCACGTGTCTCAATCAGAGATCGTCTTCTTCTTGAGTTGAAAATACTCAATAAATATTAGTAATTTATGTCAAGTGATTGGAACATTAAATATTATGTGACTGAAATTATTTTCTGTTTTGTCCAAATAGGTAGTAATGATGAATAATTTTGCAAGAAAAATTTTAACTATAAATTTTTCTTAATATAGTTTAAACAAAGAGTGATTTTTGAACATAAAATATGCTTATTTTTTATTAATCAATCAATAATAATATTTTTTCAACTATTTAAATATTTAATTAATTATTTTATTTAAATATTATATTTAAATATTTATATTTAGTTAAACACTTTTAAGGTATTTAAAATGATAATAAGGAATTAAAATATGTTTGTATGTGCTAAATACTTTCGGATTTAAAGGGGATACTGCTTCCAAAAAATATTTAATCTTACAATGTATGTATAAGTCAGAAAAATAATTCTCGATAATTTCTTCTTAAATAATGTTAGCGTTTATAACTAATAAAACAAGTAAGTTTTTTTTCAAATTTTAATAAAAATATTTACAAAATAATGAAAAAAATGGACATTTTTTAATAATCGACTCAAACAATAATACGTTTATGCTAAAATTATGGAGCATTTTATGTGAGTAAAGTAATTTCTGAAAACTAAATGAAGATAGAGTAACTTCCTCTAAATTTTCAAGCACAATTTTAAATAGATTAAACCCTAATTTTGTGTCATATCATTTCAATCACTAAATAGATTAATTCAAATTTCACTTTTAACTTAGTATTTTTTGGGATTAATTCTGGTGACCCATTTCAATGCAAGCTTGACAAGTATTTTAAAAATGTAAATTCAGGGCCGTGTTTTCAAGAATACCTTACATATTGGAGAGTTCATAATTTATTTCGAGCGTTTTAAAACATCCAATTTCTTTATAACTGAAACTCAGAAGACAAGTATTGGGAAATTTGATCTTAGAGAATTTTTCATAACCACATAAATCCGTGATTCAACTAATAAGGGTGATAATTTTTATTTTCACTGTGGCTGGAGCAGACGAAATTACTCTAGCAATGTTATCACTTATTTGTTGAGTTTTTTATTTTATTTTATAAGTGACGTTGGGCAGTTTATTCTGAGCTTACAACTATCAATGTTCAACTCCATAGCTTTGTAACAATTGAAACTGTAAATTTCAATCCAACCCAGAAGACAAGGGAACGTCTGGATGAAGTATTGGGACAAACTGGCCTTTGTGGAGGACTTTTTGATGGAACTAACTCGAATTTGCGTTACATGGTGGGGAAAACCACCAAAACCTCCCATGTTTAGTCCGAAGACAAAAATATTCTACCACACGATTTGTGTACCACTGAGGATATTTTACGTCAGCACTGTGATAGGTGTGAGCCGGAAATAGAATTCGTACCAGTCAGCCACCACAGGGATTCGAACCTGGGCCATGTCATTAGGATTTCGAACGCTCTGTCCCCTGTGACTCCGTGACTCAGTTTGTCTAGTTCTCAAAAATTTAGATAGTACTTAAATTTAGATTAAGTCTTAGATAAAGTACTTAAATTTAGATTTAGTCTCAAAAATTTAGATAGTACTTTAGATAAGGTAGCATTATTCACAAATGACTAGATTATTTATCTTGGGCCTTACTGTGCTGGCTTTTTTTTGTATCTAATTTCTGTATATTCCCAATCAAAAAAACCCCCTATTTTCTAACGATGTCAAATATTTAATTACAGTAACGGAGAAGGAGTTTTCTGTATTTTTGAGTCCTAAATTTCCTATTGAACTCGATAATTCAATGAAATATTTCCTAATATTAATATATTCATTCGACAATTTATTTATAAATTTATTAATTCCAATTTTTAATTTTTTTTTTGATTTTTTGATCAAATGCTTTAAAATCTTATATAAAGAAAAAAAATTCTTTTGTAAACTAACTTTTCAACTATTGCATTCTATAAAATTGAAGGACTTCGATTGGAGATCGAAATACCAGGAATTGGCAGTTTTATTTTTGAATAGCTATTTGATTACAAAAAGAGGTCTCACGTCTTATTTTCTGAAATTGAATTATAATGTTTCTTGGTTAAAAAAACAAAAAATTAGGCTAGCGTTCGTAGATAAAACCGCGCGAAAATAATACTATTAACACTCTTAATTCAAAACTAATATATTCTAATGAATAATGCAATTAAAGAATGATTTGGTTTATTTTCTTTGTTATGGGTGGAGCGAACTAGAAAAATCTTGTACCGTTATGATGATATGAAGACGTTGTCCTTGTTGATTTTATATATAAATAGCCAATCGTGAATACATCTTTCACAGAATTCAGCTGATTTAGTACATAGTTTCTTAACTCTTCAAAAATGATTGCCAAGGTAAGAATTATTTTTATATATGATTATTGTCAATTGAATAATATAATTTTGAGATACATATTTCTCTCGGATAGGCTATTATATTTTGAAATGAAACTGTTTATTCAAGTATTAGCTACAAATTTCGTTTCTACATTATATTCTTTTGTCGTATTTTATAGATCTATATTTACTGAATTAAAAGCGAGTTCGTAAATTGATGTATTGCAAATTTTAAATCACCCTCTGAGAGAGATAACTCTAGAATTCTTTTACAATGGTTAATATTTTTTTTATAGCCAATGAGAGATATTTAAAATGATAAAATTGCAATAAAATTCAAAGCTATTGTGTACAACTTTATAAATATGATCTGTTTCAAAATTTACGGATAATTTTTTAATTTTCTTAAAATTGTTGTAGGTTGAATTTTCCCCCGCCTTTTCCAGCAGATTTCACTCAGTTATTAATTTTGTCTCATCGTTTAAAGAATTAATTTAAAACATTTAATTTAATTTTGAAAATTAATAATTTAAAATTATACAATTGTTGCAAATCATATATTTTTTTAATTTTCTATGATTAGTATTTTATGTATTGATGACTAATTAATAACTTTTAGATGTTCCTTAGATGATGATTTAAATAACTAATTTTAAATAAAGTAGCAAATGAGATGGTAGATATTTCTAAAAATTCGAAATTTTAAAATGGAATAAAAATTCCAAGAAATGAGGTTTCAGGACAATTATTTATTATATTTATTAATTAAGTTATTAAAAACGATTTCAGATTTATGTTATGGCTGTTAAAAATTATGGCAAATTTTAGGTGAATACAGTGCAAAAAAAACAAGTGAACGCCCTGTATAACTTTTGATCTAATGTTTGGATTTGCTCGTACTAAGATATAATTTTAACAGTTCAGGAACCAAACGTCCAGCAGTGGACTGATTATTAAGACACGGTTTCCAGCAGATCACCGAAGTCAAGTATCACTGGTTGCGGTCAGTGTGCGGGTGGGTGACCACTTGGATCAGTCTGCGTAGGGGCCGAGGGTGTGCGGTATTGGTCCTCGTTAAACTGCTCTACCATAAAGTTTCTCGACTTCGCGTGCAGGTCGTCGGGCTACCGAAGCAGGGGTGCCATCCCCTCTGCAGAGGATCAAAATTGTGATGGCATGTATTCGGATCATACTCAGGGATGTTTCCCAGACCGTCACCAATAGCAAATTGTGCAGTTCTAGTGCGACGTAAGTGAACTACAACAACAACAACAGGAACCTAACCTTAAATAGGCTGATAAATAAGTGTAGACGATATTTTAAGTTAAGCAAATAAAATGCAATAATGTACTTTTTCTGAATAAACACACATTTGCCTCAATCTTGAAAATATGGTCATAATAGTTTTGACAAGAGAGTGATACAAAATTTAGACTTTTTAATGTCACTTTAATTTTTGCTACACACTAAGAAAAAAAAAGTACGATTAGTGCTACCAGAGTGTGGTCAAATTTACCCTGTTTCTGGCTCCCTGGAAACACCAAAAAAAGAAGAAAAACAAGGTAATTTTCATCGAAGCGTTTTGATCATGACTTTTTGGTAAAATTAGCACTTAAATATGATTTTAATTACCATGCTGTATAGTTTGAGATTACACAAAAATGTTCAATTTGATAACCTTTTCTGTATATTAACATTTGTTAACATTGTTTCTCCTCGGTTATTTGTTATTTTTCCCAATGTATACTGTAAGTTAACATCTACCAACATTTAAAATTATTAAAACATGAATTTGTAAATGTACAAATGCCTGGACAAGAGCTAAACTATATCAGTAGTTTAACTGTTACTAAATAAATACTAAATCAAGTTAAATAAAATTACTACATGAGGATTGTCCCAACATCCTAAAACGGAAGCATTGAGATAGCGGTTCACAATAACAATGCATATTTTTATGTTCCTCTCTAACTTGGGCTATCTGTTCTTGAACTTAACAAGAGCTTATAATAAATCCATTTTGTAATGAGCAGAACAGTCTGCACATGTATGTGTAACAATAAATAAAAAAATGAATGAATTCTTGGAATAGCAATAATTTTTTTTTATTGTTTTAACCAATTTTTTTAAAATTGTTCGTCTTTCTGCTAAGCACTATTTAAAATGGAGATAGTGGGTTCTAATCAAGGCGTAACCCTAGATGTGTAACTGTAAATAAATAAACTAGGTTTAGAGGCATATACAGAGTCGGGTGTTCAATGCAAATAGTTGCCTGTCTCTTGTCAAATTGCAGAACAGATTGCATTGAAATGAAAAAAAAAAGTAGTACAAAGATGCTGAACCCACTACATTTACGCTTCGGAGCGTTTGGCAGAAGGACATCTTCCCGCGGCAATGCAGACCCCAATAATTTATGGTTGATTTACTCGAACTTTATTTGCAGTATTGTATCTTCTCTAACAACTTTGAAGCGTATACATAGTGGGTTCGAATCAAACTATAATATTCGATGCAAGAGGCAAAGACATCAAAATGTTAAAATTACTATATGAAGGGTAAAATGATGGATAGTTCTAAAGATCATATTCCTGTTAATGATTAAAGATCATATTCCTGTTAAAGATTAAAGATTATATTCCTGTTAAAGATCCTGTTAAAGATTAAAGATCATATTCCTGTTAGTAATTTTAAATTGATACTTTAGAAAATGGCATAAAAACCATTTAATTGGTCACATTCATTTTGAGATTTATATTTGTTACTAAATATAATTGCATAAGACGTATTGCATAAGAACTATAATTTTGAAAAACAAAATGAATGGTAAACTGTTAGAACGGCAAACGGTAAGATTACCATATGAACGGCTTAAATACCGTATATGTTGATTTAATTATAGTGATTCTTCCGGAATTCTTTTCTCCGTGTACTTATAAAATGAACTTATAAAGTGAATCAAAAATTTTTTTACCCTAAATTATAACATTTCTTTATCCATAGATAAATTTTGGTGGGAAGTAATTTTATACTATTTTGTTTAATAATATCGGAAAATATTTTTAATTTTATGTTATGCAAATTTTTACACCATTTTACTTTGAATTACAAAACACAAGTTTAACGAAATTGGTCTAATAGTTTTTGAATTATTAGAAGAGAATCATATAATTTCACTTTTATGTTTACTTTTGCAATTGTTGAGAATTGTACAATTGCATAAACAGTTTTTACAGAACATAATCATACAAAATCTCTTTCAGCTTGCTCTTCTCTTCGCTGTGGTTGTTGCTACCAATGCAATTGGTCTTCCACTCGGACATGGCGTATTGCATAGCACAGGCGTCAGTGCAAGAGCTCAAACTCAGGATGTAAGTAAACAGTTGCTTCGAAAAGAAAAATAAGCGTTAAGTAATGCATTTTTTACAGTTAAATTCGGTCGGTATAAAATAGGAGCTGTTTTTTATTTATTTATTTATTATTTATAGGCCTTTGGCAACTATGCTTTCAACTATGGCATTGCAAACGGTGCTGGTGCAACTAACTCAAGAGCCGAAGTAGGTGATGCCCATGGTAACAAAAGAGGTTCATATACTCTGGCTGACAACGATGGAAGGGCACGTAGAGTAGATTACGTAGCTGATGCTCATGGATTCCGTGCTGCTGTTCATACCAACGAACCAGGAACTGCTGCCAGTGCCCCAGCTGCAGCTGTAATTGCTAGTCCTTATGCTGCCCCTGTAGCTCCAGTTGCTCATGCTGCTGCCGTACCAGCTTTAGCTGCCGCTCCCTTGGCTGCTGTTAATTTTGGTGGAACCATTGCTCACGCTGCTGCCGCTCCTGCATTAGCAGCACCTTTGGCTGCTGTTGCCTATGGTGGAGCTATCCATCATGGAGCAGCACTTGGTCATGGTCTTGCTCTTGGACACGGTCTTGGACACGTACATGGTCTTGGTTATGCACACGGTCTTGGTTATGCACATGGTCTTGGTTTAGGACATGGTATTGCTCACTTGTAATTACCTGGAATATTTAAGGTATTACATTTTGATTGCTAAATCTACACTAATTTAATAAAATCAGTTATAATATTCCCAGTATTGAACGATATAGCTAATAAAAGAATAAGTGTGTTTGTAAACTTAGAGCCTGATTGCTAATTAAAAAGCTTTCAAAAAATAATAAAAGTTAGCTTTAATTGTTTGAGTTGAAATATTTTTTGAGCATTTCGTTTGTCAGTTAAATTTAGGATATATTTAATAGCCAAAATTTAGTATTATTATTTCATTTTTTTTTGTATAAAAAGTATAAAACAATGCAGAGATGTGTCTGAGAAGTTGGTGAGTTATAAGTATAAAAATTTATATTAAGCATGAATTATTCTTTTTGCTTATTTTGTTAATATTAATTTTTATATAATGAAAATAACTGCATTTGTAATTTAAAAAATATGTGTGTTGTATATTTTGAACATGAGAATACTCAAAAGATTTTGTTAAAAAATATTCACGATTTTGTGCATATGATAATAATATTAATAATATGTCCTTTAAAAAAAGTTGAAATGGAAATTCAAATTCAGCAGTTTTAATATGTATGAGTCTACAAACATTATTAACCCTTTTTGAACTTAGGTTATTATTTAAAAACATTTTTCATCGAATTTTTAATTGAAGAGCTCTTTTAATATTGATATACATTATTTTTTTCTCCAGGTTTGATGATAAGACTTGAATCTGTGATCCGAAAACTTTTAAAAAGCCAAACATGTCTATTCGTTCACCAAATTTGTCCTTCTAATATTTCCGTGATTTGCATTTTTTAAATATTAAATTGTTACATTTCAAATCATGCATTCAATGATATGGTGTTGGTCTATTTTGTGCGTTCCTGCTTCTATGAGCAAGACAAATTTAAATTATTTTGTTGTATATTGTGAAGCAACTGTAAATAAATGTTTTTAAACAGAAATGATTAGTTTTCCTGTTTTTGTTTTTTAAATTCTAAGTCCTGAAAGATTAAAAAATTTATTAGAGGACGAAAAGAGTGATACACGCACTTGAGTGATACCACAAACTCAAAAGTGATAGCACAAATTTTCCACGACCTAACTTGGTGTTTAGTTGAATTATAATATTGTATTTTTTTTTACTTGAATATACTACAGTATTGGTTCAGTTTAAGATCTTATTATGCTGCTCTTATATATGCTTATCTTATTATGCTGATCTTATTACACATGACTCTATTTGAAAATCACTCCATAATAGCAACAGTCTACTGTACTTCAAAGTAAAAAGAACAATAAACAATTAACAGTGACCATTAAATTATTAAAATTGAACAATAAACAATTAAAAGTTAGCAATAATCAATTAAAAATTTTAGGAGTTAAGAATAAATAATTTCAAATTCGAAAAGGGACAAAAAGTGAACAATAAACAATTAAAAGTGAAAAATAAACAATTTCGAATTTGAAAAGGATATATAAACAAAAGTGAACAATTATCAATTAAATGTATGAAAAACTAACAATAAACAATTTCAAACTTGAAAAGGAAGAATAAATAATGAAAAAGGAACAAAGAACAATTTCACTTATAGTTTGATCATTTAGTTGTTCTTAGTTCCAGTATAATTTTGAAATCTCTCCGCTAATCTAGGCTTTTGTTTAGACCTAAGCAGGGGAAAAGATGGCTTGGATTCATAGTGTCTGCTTGGCATATTTTGATCGAGAGTACTCCTTTCTTGAACACAGTTCTATCAGACCTTCATGGCTAGTTGGTGGTCTAAAATTTTCTGCTGACTCTTTTTGGGGTGTATGACTAGACAATTTTCAGTTGTCTTGCATTCCTTCCTAGAAGCAATCTTTTGATATTTTAGGCATATCATTGTTATTTATTTTATAATTTATAAAGGCGTGCATATTTTATGCTACTTATCTTGAACAAACTATTATCTGCCTAATAGTCATGGCCAGTTTGTGATTTCTACTACACTTAGTTGTCTCTTTGGCACTGCCTCTTTTTGTGGTCAATGGCTATACAATTTACATTCTTACATGCCTTCCCAGAATTAACCTTTTGATATTTTAGACGCATCATTGTTATTTATTTCTTCAAATGTCTTAAAAACGTATCGTTTTAGTGAATTTGGTTTAACAGGGGCATATTCCTGTTGATTCTTAGCTCCGGGTTTTGATAGAAAATCTGCACTGTAAAAAACTCTGATTCAAATTATGGTAAAAAATACTGGCACATGGGATGCATCATTCGTAAAATTCCTTTTATAGTAAAATTCCTTTTTATCGTAAAATGTTATACCGTAATTTTTACAGTAATATTTAATTATAATGATCTAGTGATTTTGTAGTTAATGTTACGGTAAAAGTTAAGGTAAATTGGTTTTTTGTTCTGTTAAATTTTGCAGTAAAATTGAATTTTATGGTAAACCTTCAACGTTTTACCGTAATTTGATCTGGAATTTTTCCTAGTGTGCCCGTTTATTTCTTTTCATGCCAACGGGCGATGGGATCCACAGAAAAATAATTATTTTATCTTATGTCTTAATAAAATTTTACTCGATCTCATATATTATCTCAGGTTCAAAACAATGGTTTTACTGTTACTGATTGCATGACGGATACTGAATCAACTAGGATAACCATTTTTGAGAATATATTTGTCATAGATTTTAAGTTCTGTAGCTAGATATATTGCAAAAATTTCTGCATAAAAATTAGAACATTTAATATTCTGGTAAAGTTAAGAAAATTTGCACTGTGTTATGGTTCAAGGTTTATTCACTTTTTCGAAAAGTGTTCAAAGATTTGATTTTGAAAGCTTTAAAATGTACAATTTAATCATCGAAATTTATTGTTGTATTTCCATTTCCTTCTTTTGATTGAATTAGGAATTACTAGTTGGAAGACAATCACATATTTTTGTAAAATTATAGTTAGATACAATTAATTTATTAAAAAAAACAAACTAATAAATGTTTCATTTGCATTTTTTTTAAGAATAATGATTGTGTAATTTTTAAATGACCAAAACTAAATCATGTATTTAAAATCAAAAGCATGCTGTTATATTTAATAATGGTAGAGAAGTTCAAATTGTTTTACTGTAGTCTGCATCTGCAGATAGATATACAGATGAATATACAGAATGGTTCATAATGAAAACGCTTAACATATATTTTTAGAATCCTTCACAAAATTGCAATCAAAAACTCAGATACATTAAGGAGTACTATTTAATATTTCAGCAAAGAGAAAACAAAAATGTCATGGGAATTTATTAGACTACGCTTGAATAAATCGGACTAAAAGCATCTTAGAATCGGACTAAAAGCATCTTAGAATCGGACGAAAAGTATCTTAGAATCGGACTAAAAGTATCTTCCTATAACCAGAGGAAGCATTTTCATTCTACTAATAACCGCCAATCAACTCCACTTTGTTCTTGTTTTGGAAGTTTTTATTTCCGCTTTCCTCTAGAGTGATTTTTTTATATTTTGATTGCGCTTTTGGTTTTTTCACACTTGAATATACCCTAAGTAAATATTTTATTTTAAACAAAGATTCTAAAAATATACGTGAAGAAAGGACTTAATTTTGCACTCTGACGTGTGAAAGTTTTTTAATATTTACATGGATCTGGATTAACAAAGGACGAACGAAAATTCTCCCAAATTTCTAACTAATTAGACCGTTCAAATTTCATCTGAAGTTTTGAGCCTGTGGGCTATCGAAATTTCAATCGTTTCCCGTTCAATGCGTGTGGATTTTGTCGCCCTCATTTTATCACCTATATGAATTGTTGTCATCTATAATCAACCAATTTTCGATAAGTGAGCGTGTTCAAATTTTAAATGGGGCTCTTTTGATCGATGACAATACAAGTTTCAAACGTTTCTTAGCTACTTAGAGCAGAGTTTATGATCTTATGAACGTTTGACGCAATTCATTATCGATCCCAATTTTGATCACTTTTCACTTTAGAATGTCAGTGTTCAATTTTCAACTAAAACTCTGTGCTTGATGATTATGCAAATTAAAGTTAATTTTTTGAATGCGGCAAACAGAAGTTATCTAAATTTTATCGCCATCAGCGAAGTGTGCCCTTCCAAAAAAATTGGTTACTGCGTCTTGGCTCTTTGATCTGTTCCGTCATAATAATTTTTACTAACTCTTGCTCGCGGCTTTGCCTTCGTGAACTTATTTTGATTTCTATTTCACTATTTTCAAAAGATGTCCACGATATTGTCAAAGGGAATTTCAGTAATAATTTGAAATCTGCCCGGAAGCCATTAAATCACATAAACCAGTAAAAATATGAGTACAAGACATTTCAGCATAGTATGCAGCAGAAATAATAAAATTATTTCTATCTCTGTTGTGAGATAAAATAGAGAACTCATCCTAATGCTCCGGTACTTGCTGAAGTACTTCCTCACGCACCTTCTAAATATATACTTAACATATAAATATTTATATGACAGTATTTAAATTATTACTTAAAAAAATCTAGCAAAAGGAATTATTATAGATGACTATGCTGTTGCCATATAATCGTGTTTTTGATGTCACGTAGGAGAAATAAATATATAGATTAAACCAGACTCACGTTCAAAGTTATATTTTCGTCGTTAGAAACATGTATTGTAACCTATTTTTTTATGAGGTGATAATTGAATATGTGAATAAACGGGTAATTTTTGTCTACTAATTAGTTTATTTATTAGCCAAATTTAGTTAAAAAATTTCTATTTCTAGCAAAGAATTTAAATTACTGCGTGAAACAATCTAACAAAAGGAATTATTACCGATGACTATCTTGTTGCCAATTTAGACAGAGAAATACCCATGTTTTTGGTGTCACGTAAGAGAACTAAATATGTAGATTAAACCAGACTCATGATCAAAGTTCAAGTTCTGTCGTTATAAACAGGCATTCCAACTTGTTTTTTACAAGGTGATAATTAAATATGTGAATAAGCGTGTAGTATAGTATGTTTATTAATTCTTCCATTTATTCGCTAAATTTAGTTAAAAAATTTCTGTTTTCAACGAAGAGTTTCCTTTCCCCTTTCAAAATTTCCTCTGTTTAGAATCCGGGGAAATTCAATATCCAGGGAAAACTAAATGCACTGATTAGTTACTGAAATTTTTGCTTCCTTCAAAATGTTTTAGCGAAATTTTGCAAGGGGCTCTCTTTTTTCCTTAACAAATTGATTTAATTTATTTATGATTCCATTTTCATATCTGGAAGATTTTTTTCAAGAAAGTTGTGCAATTGATTAAGCACCGAATTTGAAATGCAATCTATATGCTGTGGTTTTCTTTTTTTTGAATTGACGATAATTTCAGAAAACTGAAAACAGAAATATTTCGTTAAAAAATTTGCAGGAAACATAAGACAAAAGTTTGTGGTCTTTCATTACCCTGTTACAAATTCTATATTTATAATTTTTAATTTTTATTCCTATTGCTCTTTTCTTCTTATGAATCATCAGTCCCTTATTCATTCGATGCTACAAGAATCAGTATTTCAAAATATCATCGAATAGATTGAGTAATAATAATAATAATAATAATAATAGTAATAATAATAATAATAATTCCGCTAGTTAACTAACGCTTGTTAAATTTTAAATGAATACTGAAAAATATTAAATGACGTTAAATCAAGTATTTTTATTACTGAGCATGCAATTTGTTAAGCTAAATAAAAATAGAATGGCTGACATAGAAACAGAAAAAGATAATGTCGTTTAGTGAAATTCCCATTTTTTCTTTCTAAACTAACATCAAGCAAGTTGTAATATCAAGCAAAAGCATATCGTTATCTACATTTGCAACAATCTATAGTTTCAACTACACTATACTACAAACTATACTACTACGATTACTTTTTGTAAATCTAGTTACAAGAGGGTTGCTTAAAAATTTTTCGTATGACAAGGTG